CTAACATCCATTCCTGATAAAAACACTCAATAAAGTAGGAATTGAAGGGAAATTCCTCAACATAAATAAGAGCATATACACAAAACCAACACCTAACATCGCTCTCAATGGAGAGAAACTGAAAGCATTCCCTTTGTGAACAGGAACCAGACAAGGATGCCCTTAGTCACCACTCCTATTCAATATTGTGTTGAATGTCTTAGCCAGAGTTATAAGGCAAGATAGAGAAATTAAAGTCATCCATATTGGCAAAGAAGACACAGAACTCTCTTTGCAGATGATATGATCTTATACATAGAAAAGCTCAAAGATTCAGCAAAAAAAAAAAAAAAAAAATTCTAGAACTCATTTAAAGATTCATAAAAATGGCAGAGTATAAGATCAATACATGAAAATTGGCCAGATTTCTCTATACTAATAATGACAGCACTGAAAAGGAAATTAGGAAAGCAATACCATTTACAGTAGCTGCCCCAAAGCTGAAATCTTTAGGAATAAATCTAACCAGAGAAGCAAAAGACCTATACAAAGAAAACTACAAAACACTACTACATAAAACCACAAGAGACTTAAAAAAAAAAAAAAATGAAAGAATATACCATATTCCTGGATAAGAAGATTTAACATTGTGAGCATGTCAATACTACCAAAAGCAATCTACATATATAATGCAATCCCAATCCAGATTCCAACAACATTCTTTAAAGAGATGGAAAAAAACTATTACAAACTTTATATGGTAAGGAAAAGTCCACGATTAAACAAAGCACTGCTTAAAAAGAAGAACAAAATTGGAAGTCTCTCACTCCCTCATTTCAAAATGTACTATATAGCTAGAGTGGCCAAAACAGCCTAGTACTGATACTGTGAAAGATACATAGATCAATGGAATAGAATTGAGAATCCAAAAATTAATCCATCCACATACAGCTAACTGATCTTTAATAAAGGGCCAAAGTACATTGAATGAGGAGGAGATAATCTCTTCAACAGATGGTGCTGGAAAAATCCATATGCAAAAGAATGAAGACCTTTATCTCACACCATATACAAAAAACAACTCAACATGAATTAAAGACCTACAGATAAATTCTAGACTTATAAAAGATCATTAATGAAAAAAATAGGGACAAATTTAAGTGCTCTAATACAGGGCACATATAGACTATCAAACATTGCAAGAATTGCACAAATAAAAGAAGACAAAATAGATGACTGGGACATTCTAAAAATTAGAAACTTATGTGCATCAAATGGTTTTACCAAAAGAGGGAAAAGGGAGACCACAGAATGGGAAAAAGTCTTTTGCAATGTCATTTTAGACAAGGGACTAATATCTGTAGGAAACTAAAATCTGTAGGAAACGACAACACCTCTACAAGAAAAAGACAAATTACCCAATTAAAAAAATGGGCACAGGATATGAACAAATACTTCACCAAAGAAGATATTTTGGCAGCCAACAAACATATGAAGTAATATTCATGATTATTAGCCATTAGAGAGATGCAGATCAAAACAACAGTGATATATCATCTCACACCAGCAATTACAGTGAAGTTCAAAACAGCAGAGGACAATAAATGCTGGTGAGGATATGGAGAGCCTGAAACCCTCATACATTGCTGGTGGGAATGTAAAATGGTTCAATCACTCAGGAAAACAGTATGGCGCTTTCTCAGAAAGTTGGAAATAGAAATACCTTATTATCCAGCAATTCCTCTACTTGGTACATATCCACAAGAAATATGAGCCAGAACACAAGTAGATATATTCACAGCAATGCTTATTGTACTCGATTCACATAGCAAAAAGATAGAGACAGCCTAAGTGCCCATACAAACTTTGGTTCATCCAAACAATGGAATATTATTCTACCTTGAAGAATAACAAGGAAGTTGCGAATCACTGCATAACCTGGATGAAACTTGAGGACATTATGCTGAGTGAAATTAGTCAGTCACAAGGACAAATATTACATAAGGCCATTATTGTAAAAGCTTAAGAAAAAATACCCATACTAAAGTTAAAAAAAAAAATCTTTGTTGCTTACCATGGGTGGGATGAAGGGGATGGTAGCACAGGTTAGGGGATAGCCACATCATAGCTCAGGTGTTGGGGAGAACAATACACAAGGAAAGGGAGGGCAATAAACAAGAAGAGGGAGGGGGATGGAAGAACAAGGTAGATAGGGGAACACTTAGGTTTGCATGGCTAAACAAAACAGAGGTAAACAGTTATGTAAGTTCAACCTTGCAATAACAGAACTCTAGGATACAGGGATTGAGACATAACTTTAAAGGGTAAAAGAGAGGAATAATGTTAAAATGCTTGACTGTCTCATGGATATCAGTGTCCCTTGCCTACTATTGTAAAATAGACACATGAGTGAAATAGAAAGGAGTATCAGGAAACATGACTACAGAAAGCTTGTAAGCCCATCTTCAGTCTATAACTGATTGAAATACCTAAAAGGGATTATAGACCTTGCCCAGTTAAATACACTTCTTTTGGAGCCTTTGCAGTGAACAGGACTTTACGTAGAATCTTGAGCCCCATCCAGAAACTTCTGAGGAGGGACATTCCTACTTGAAAGGATATGCAGACCAACCCAGAGTGGCTAGAGGAACAGAACAAAGTTCTTGAAAGACCATCAGATAAACACACACAAAAAAATGACAGTCTGTTTGACTATAACACAAACAAGCAAACTGTTCGTCAGGGAGCCATCAAGGTAAACAATCAAGTTCCTTCAGAACAAACCCTTTTCCAAGACTGAAACTCAGAGGGAACACTGAGCAGGCATCTAAGCTTGCTGGCGACCACATTGGTCTACATGTGACTGGAAGTGGGGGAAAGTCAACAGTGAAGATATGGGCTGAGTTCAACCACTTTCCATAGACTTGTCAACCTTGAGATGAAAGAGAGAAAAGCAAGAGCTGCTTGATCCAAAGTTTGGGGAGACTTGGGAACTCCTGAGCCCATGGACAATGACCTAGCCATAGAGGGATAGAGCTGAGAGTGAAGCATCCAACTAATATGAAGTTGGGGGAGATGTACAAGAACACTCAAACTTGCAGATACTACCCATTTGACCTAGCTTTGATGACTTGATGATCAGAACTTGACTAGAGGTAGATAACAGAATTTGATAAAGGAAGCAAGTGTAAATTACTACAGTTTAATGAACTTGATCTATACTTATGGATATGGTGGTGGTGGTTCTGTGCCGTGGAGTTGGTTCCAACTCATAGCAACCCTGCATAGGGTTTCCAAGTCTGCAAATCTTTACAGAAACAGAAAGCCTCATCTTTCTTTCATGGAACAGCTGGTAGTTTTGAACTGTTGACTCTGGGGTTAGCAGTCAAACTTGTAACCACTATGCTACCAGAGCTCACCAACCGAGAGGGAAGGAGTTTTCACATCAAGCATCTAATCTATACTCTCTATACACAGGGTTAATAGGGACAGGCAACTTAGTAATTGACTACCTAAAATGCGGGGTGAGAGCCATAAAGGCACACAATGGCTGCCTTACAAGTTTTCAAGAGACAGTTTAGTAGCAGAGTGTGCAGGAGAAGGTAGAATCCCCACTGAATAGTTTTCATCTTGTCTAGATGAGTCTAGTGAAAGGAAATAGGGATAGGATTCATTTGATTCAATAGTGAATAATTGTTATTATGACTAATTGCAATTGTTATAGCTGTAAAGGTCGAAGTTGTATAACAAAAATGGGGGAGTAGTTAATCTTGCATTCCAGGAACAGAGGACCCTAGAACCATCAAGAGAGAAGATCATGAGCAGAACATGGGACCCTAACCTGAGTAGCAGCAACACCAGAGATAGAGGCAGATGGCATGGAGAGATAGAGCAGCTTAGGGCTCCACTCATGGAAAGAGAAAGACTGTACAACTGGCAGCCAGGAGGCTGACTTATAGAATGTATCAAACTTGGTTTGTTCAAATGATTATTCCTGTGCGTTTTTGTGCACATAAAAAAAAAAAAAGAAAGAAAACAAAACCAAAAAAACCCCAAAGCTGGAAAAGATGCAAATACTGTTAACTGATGGCACACTGAGGGAATTGTAATCATTGCAATGAAAGAAAATAAGATCGGATGAGTGCAAAACCAATGTTCTGCCATGTAAACTATCACTCAGTTCACAATGAAAACTTTTTAAAAAGTGGATAGAAGTGTAGGCAGTTTAAAATTACACAGTAAGCAAGGTAAGCATGGACTTAATTGTGGTTACTTATTAACCTATAGTGAACAGTTCCACATGTTCTTCATCACTTCAAAGATTTTGCTTCTACAGCTGGTATCTGTCTTTCTTTCAACTCCACAGCACCTTCCTACAGAATCAAAGCCTCTTTTCAAATGTACAGTCCTTGATAGGGATGCAGTGGTCAGTAAGCAAGGTGAGCACGAGTTTATTTGGGCTTACTTACTCATCTGTAGTGAACAGTGTCACATGGTTTTCACCATATAGAAATGTGAAATTCTTTGCTTCAGATTAGTGAGTAAGCACAAGTAAGTTCATGCTTGCCTTGCTTATTGGGTAATGAACCCTTGAGAGTAGAACCTCCTTGGTACTATCTTGCTTAGTGATTTTAACAAAGACAAGCACTTATTTATCTGTACATTTAACCTCTGGAAGCATGGCAGGATGACCCATCCCTCTGGCCCGGGTCTATAAAAACCAGGGAATTGACACTTGCAATCTGCCATTTTCTGTCTTAGTCTTCTCTGGCTGCAGCTAAGCTGTTGTTAAAATGCTGACTCCTGCCTTGTCCACGATAGACTGAGCTTATATATATATAATTCATGGTTTGGCACTGTAAGATCAACACTGGACTATGAACCACATGGTTGCCAGTTCAAACCCACCAGCTGCTCTTTGGAAACCCTATACAGGGTAATTATGAGTCAATACTGACTTGATAGCACTTAACAACAACAACAAAAACATATCTTTACAAAGAGAAGTTTATATCAAGGATATGGCTCAGCAGTGTAGAGATAAGAGAGTCCCCAGTGTAGGCCAGGAGAACAAAGATCTGTCAGTGGTTCTGGAAGACAGGAATCCCAAGTCAGTGCATAGAACAGGACCTCTGAGCTCCAGCAGGGGTGGTCAACCAAACCCTGGCAGGCACACTGCAGAACTGGCAGCAGGAACAAGCTTGCAGGGCCCTCTGGTGGGCATCTTGTTTTCCAGGCTCACTTGGCAGGCAGGCCTAGCAGGCAAATGCACAATAGAGCAGGCCACTGGCTCAGGTTCAAAGAAACAAATGGGAGGTTGGAGGATGACCCAGATGTGAGGTCCAGACTCAGGGTGGAAGACAGTGAGTTTCCCCTGCATGTCCATTATATTGGGAGCAGGACACAACCCTAAGGAAACAACCTTTCAATTTATTTGCTTCTTATAGCTAATCATCCTAGAGTTAACTATGCCTGCTCATAGCCAATCATCATAGAGTTAACTATTAACTGCTGAACAACAGGGAATCCTAACTCAGTCAAGTTAACATAGAACCTTAACTACCACAGTTATCAAAGACTTCATTTTGCTTGGATCCACAATCAATGCTAAATGGAAGTGGCAGTCAAGAAACCAAAAGGCATATTGTTTCAGGTAAATCTGCTGCAAAAACTCTTTAAAGTGTTAAAGAGCAAAGATAGTTTGAGGATTAATTTATGTTTGTCCCAAGCCTCATATGCATGTGAAAGGTGGACAATGAATAAGGAGAACCTGTAAGAATGGATGCATTTGTTTGGATTGTTTGGAGGGATCAGTCCCCGGAGAAGGACATCATGCTTGGCAAAATAGAGGATGATCTAAACAGAGGAAGACCCCCAAGATAATGAATTGACACAGATGCAGAAAAAATGGGTTCAAACATAAGAACAACTGTGGGGAAGGTACAGAACTGGATAGTGTTTTGTTGTGCTGTGCTTAGGGTGAATATGAACTGGCATTGACTTCATGGCACTTAAGAACAACACCATGAGACCATGAGATTTGTTATTGTATTCATTCTGAAAGTACTGTGAAGAACATTTTCCTATTGTTAACAATGTCCTGTTTATCAGTCCCTGCAGTATAACTTCTATAATCTACATATCATATAGTAATGATGGTTACACAGATTTGTAGATATGCTAAGGACCATTTTGGAGTACTGGTGTGGTGCTTTAAGGTAAGCACTGGCCTACAAATCACGAAGTCATTTGTTTAAACTTGCCAACTGCCCTTTGGAAACACTATATGGGTCTCTGAGTAAAAAACTGAATCAACAGCACTTAAAAACATATCCCAGAAGTAAACGTACATCTGGTGAGTAACTACTGTTAGTGTTTGTTCATTTCAGAGGATACTATACTAAAAAAACTCTGTCTTCAACTTATTAACTACTATACAATCCTTAAACCAAATATGGACTCCATTTCTGTGGCCTATTTATACAGGATTTAATGCATTCAGTTTACAAACTAGCCTCACTCTTGGCTTCTTCTCTTTGTATAGCATTCTCTATGTTGTCATCCCATTATTTTTTTTCCATTTTCAGTATTTCCTTAAAGCATTTTGGAACATAGGATATTGGATGTATCAGGCAGTATGCTGCACAGTAATCTGAGGCTAGAACTGACTTTTACTGCTCCCAGTTGGAATACTGAAGAATGATAAGGCATGAAGCTATAGCCAGATCATTTGGGTTTAAAGTCTTCCTCTGCCACATCCAGCTATGTTGCCTCTGACAAGTTGCTTACCTTCTCTCTGACTGAATTTCCTCAATTGTAAAATGACAATTATGATAGTGCGGCTATGCCTTCTAATAGCGCACATTTGAAAGTGAATTAATATGTAGGAAGTATTTAGAAACGTGCCTGACACTAGAAATGCCGTGCAATTTGTTACAGAAGAGTCATTGTGTCAATTCTGATTTTTTTTCCTTGAATTTATCAAATTAATGAGTTTGTCATTAATCTTAGAGCTCTGGTGTGGTACTGTAGGATAAACACTGAACTGCCAACCTCAGGGTCAGATGTTCAAACCAACCAGACGTTCTCTGAAATCCTATACAGGGTCACTACAAGTTAGAAACAATTCTGAGGCACAGAACAGCAACAATAATTAATCTTGGATCAACTGAGAAGATAACTATCAACATCATTTTCACAACATTTATATAAAGTACAACACCAATTATTCAGGTAGGAACAGAAAGTTATCCTCCTCAACAACCACTACTAGAGAACTCTGATTATTAGAAAGATCTTTCTTAATATTATAGTCAGTTGTCACTTCTCCCTGAAGTTAATATGCTGGACTGCAAGGTCAATTTGAACTACAAAGTCAGCAGTTCAATTTCACCAGCTGCTCCTCAGAAACCTTATATAGGATCTCTATGAGTTGGAACCAACTAGACAGCACTTAACAACAACAACATACCAATCTGACCAAGCATATAAATAAAGGTCCTGGTATAGCGCGGTGGGCTAATGCACTGGACTGCAAAATCAGTCTGAACCACAAGGTCGGCAGTTCAAGCTCACCAGTCGCTCCTTGGAAACCCTATGCAGGGTTGCTATGGGTCAGAACGGACTCGATGGCACTTAACAACAACAACATAAATATCTTTGAGTAATAGCTTGGTTTTCAAAATTTAATCTCCCCTACATTCAGTTCTTCCATCTAAAATCTAAGCACTTAAATTTTTTGGTATAATCTGTTGTTACTGTTAAGTGTCATTGAGTTGGTTCTGATTCATAGCAACCCTGTGTATGGTTTTTGAGGATGTAAATCTTTTTGGGAGCAGGAAGTCTTATCTTTCTCCTGTTAAGCAGGTGGTGGGCTCGAACTGCTGACCTTGTGGTTCACAGTCCAATGGTTATCATATGGAGCCACCATTATCCTCAGCTAAAATTTACATGCTACTTTCTGTTTGTTTGTTTATTTCCAGATTTCACAAAAGTTCTATTTAAAGTAGAATTTGAGAAAAATATAGAAATAATAGTTTGGGAGAGGGAAACAAAGAAAGCCAGAAGAGTCATATTCTACTAGAAGTTTCTTGGCCAGCCAGTGACCTCCTTACTTTCTGGCTCTGTGTGTAAAATCCTAAAGGAGAAATAGTGCTCCCGAAGTTCCTGCCAGTTCTAAAAGGACACAATCTCTTTGTATTTCTTAGCTAATGATACTGACCATTTTTCAAAATATCAGAACCTCCACCAGGAGTGTACAGGATCTGAAAGCAAAATTAGGAAGTCAGTTTGGATAACTGCTAACGCTTGAAAAAATTATTAAGTAGCTTATAAATTAGAACTAAGAAATAAAATGAGGTTTTTGATATTTAGGTTTGACTTTAGAAGTAATAAGTATCGGGGATACTTCTACATAGTAGTGAAATAAACTTTTATGTATAGAGGGAGGTGAAACATTCTTGGCCATAAGCTTATTTCAAGATTCAAAATGAGGGTTTTCTACTCTTCTATTTCCATGGGAGAAAGATGAGGCTTTCTGCTCCAGTAAAGATTTACAGCCTCGGAAACCCTGTACAGGGTTGCTATGAGTCAGAACTGACTCCATGGCACATAACAACAATAACTCTTCTATTGCATCAGGACACCAAAAGAATTTCCCACTATTCATCTCTGAAAATCATTTTAAAGATCTTTATATTTGTACTACAACATTTTATTACTTCAATGTTTTATGAAATGTTAAAAAGAAAAAAAATTTCATATTATCATTCTCAAGAGAAGTTTTTGGTAAATGCTGTTTAGTCAATTCTGAATCACAGCAACCCTATATCAGGTCTCCAAAGAATGGCTAGTGGGTTTGAACTGCAGATCTTGCTGTTCAAACTGACCTAGCAGTCCAGCATAGTGCCACACCAGGACTCCAACAAATACCATAGTTAGTGATGTTCTTACATGACAGTATTTGTAACTCTAGAATCCCACTTTTGACAGTGTTATCTGTTTACATGTGTGCTACTGTCACATTTGTATTCTCAGTACTTTGATGCAAGTGGGTAGTTGATAAATATGAGCTTAATTATGTTGGGAGATATGTAGGTGATTGTTTCGGGTAAATGTGTGATCTGTACAAATTTCATGATCCCAAAGAAATAGACTTTGGCCCTCCAGAGATCTAGCACTAACTTGTCTTCTTTTGTCTTCAGGTGCATAAATTATAATAATGAACACCCTATTGGTTGGTATATCTGGTAAGAACATCTCACTTTGGCTTTAAAAACATTTTATGATATACACAAACATGTAAGATTAGGGTCCCACTTCCTTTCTTAAATGATGTAAGTTAGTACATTAGATAATGCAGCTTAAGGAAATTGTAAGGGTCATGTGAATTAGTATCTACAGAAGCATCTCCTTCAGATTGCTTGTTGAACTATGATTTTTGTAAACACTTCCTGTGACAGGGAATTAACTACTTTTAATAAAAAATGTTTAACTATAAAGTCAGATACCTAATTATAAAACAATTGTTCTTTTCCCTCAAATCTCCCTAGATAACTCTTATTGACTTCTGACCTTTAAAGTCATTTAAAATAAGTCTGCAGTCTCCTTTATGAGACAACTCTTAAGACATTTAGAGATGGTTGTTTTAACCTCCTATATCTTTGATTTTGTATTTTCTAAACTAAACTTTGCAAACTCTCTCAGTTAGTTCATAAGCTCCTCAAAGGCACAGGGCCAGTATTTGAATCAACAACACCAGCATCTAAAGTATGTTTGTTGTTATTATGAGGTGCTGTGGGGGCAGTTCTAACTCATAGAGACCCTGCATATTGTTTTGCAGGAGCAGCTGGTGGGTTTGATGCACTAACCTTGCAGTTAGCCATCCAGTATTCCTGTTTTGTGGTGCTATAGGTTCAGCCATGGATGAGAACGGCAATTGAAACCCACCAGCTGCTCCTCAGAAACCCTCTACAGGGAGGGTCACTATGAGTCGGAATCAACTCAATAGCACATAGCAACAATAACTACTTATCCTATAGTGCCACACCTGTTAAGGTGCTTAAATATTAGTTAAATGGATGAATGATGGCTGAGTCAAAAGAAAAATGGTGAATTCCTTTTAACATAAAGAAATGACTCCTTTGAAAATCTTCTAATATTCACATGCAACAATTGACACTTCCCAGCATGACTGGCTCACTCTGTGCTAAAGAAATCTCAGGCCCAGTGGGGGTGTATGGATAGTGAAGCAGAGGATTCTTAAGGGACTCAGCATCCAAGATTGCTCACAGTGGGCCTACCTGGGTCTTTGCCTCCTGTCAGGAAAGTAATAAGAACTCTGAACTATGCATAATGCTGCACCCCACTCAACTCCTTCTTTGCTTCTTTTGGTCTCAGGTTATTGCTGCTGATTTTCCTAGTGGCTCTTCTCTGTGGAGCTGTGCTCTTCTGCCTCCAGTGCTGGCTGAAAAGATCTCAAGTTGTTTCCCCGAGACACACCATGGCCGTTTTCGCAGTTGGAGACTTAGATCATGTTTATGGTGAGTTGTCTGTAGATATCTAGACTTCCTCTTGGTGGTTTTGTGGTAAATTGAAAAGCTATCCTTTGAAAATAAGATTTAGAACAAGAGACGGTCTATTGGAGATGCCAAGGGATATATTGAGGAGAGAGACTAAGACATTTCAGAATGAGATGATAGAAGAAAGAAAGTGTCTTGGGGAACTGACTCATTGCGGAGATAGAATCTACAGACTTTACATAGTGAGAAAAAGGACAAAGGAAAAATATATAGAGTTAGTAACTACAAGTGTCTGATAGGGTTGAAAATGTAGATGAGCATCTTTTGGCATTTGTCTCTTTTGCCCTTTTTTAATGGTCTCATTACTATGCCTCTGAGTCGGTTCTAATCCATAGTCACCCTGTGTAGGGTTTCTGAGGACTGGCTGGTGAGCTTGAACCGCTGACCTTGAGGTTCAAAGTGACATTGCAATCTAGCAAATTAACCCACAGTGCCACACTAGGACTCCAAGAGGTCAATGGTGGTGATGGTGGTTATGTTGCCATGAAGTTGGTTCTGACTCATAGCAACCCTGATTAGGGTTTCTGAGGCTGTAAATCTTTATGGGAGCAGAAAGCCTCATCTTTTTCTTGGGGAACTGCTGGTAGTTTCAAACTGCTGCTCTTGAGGTTAGCAGCCCTACTCAACCACTACGCTACCAGAACTCCTTAAGAGGTCAATACAGATATATTAATTCAGTAATCTGTGCCTAACAGCATTGATTGTGGGGCTATAGGATCACTTTCTCTATACTACCCCAAAATTGCTAGGAATAAGAAATTGTTTCTTTCAGAGCATCCCTTTATAAACATTAAATGCAGACCACACCCACATGTGACTTGATTCACACTCTCTTGTCTCACCCTAATCCTGCCTCATTAATATAATGACAACTCACTCCAAAATGGTACCATAGGGGCATAGTCCAAATGGAGGGCTACTCCAGAAGAGTCATAATAACTAATTCACTGCACCTCAAAAATCATTAAAAAATTGAGTTGGACACCTATGGTCCAGTCAACTCATTTCCAGACAGTGAGTATAACCTCATATTCTGGTTCTAGGCATTTCTACCAGGTGATTCCAATATGGCAAGAAGTGCCCCTCAGAATCCTCATTGTCTTTCTCATTTTATCCTTTCCTCTCCTAGCCTGTGAATATAGTTTCTAGTTTCATTTTGTACAAGGGACAGTTATTATCTTCTAGCTTGAATTGCATTACAAAACTGTCTTATATTGATTTTTGTCCTGGAAGTTATGAGATCAATTGTTTCTACCCATTTATTTTTCTCTTGCTCATACAGGATTGGGGTTTGGCTATCCCACTCCTATGTCCATATTCCATCTTATCCCAGAGATGTTCAGAATGACTGTATAGGCAGTGAAAGGCACGAACTCAAGGGGTGCCAGTCACAGTCACTGATGTGGATGTTGCCCTTGGGGTTGTGCCTTTTGACATTCTTACTTACATTTACAAACAGAATGCAAAACAGTCAGTTTAGAAAGTCACAGTCTTTGTATTTTTGTTTCTTCTTAAATTGGAACTTTTGAACATAAATTTTGGAGAGTAAATATTTTAAGAAATTTTTAAACCCAGTCTCACATTGCATCTCCTTTCCCCACTAGGTCCTCATTAACAGCTTTATTTCCCAAGCAAATGATTTTTCCTATGTGAGATCTTTCCAAGAGTGAAATTAGAGAACTATTCCAGGATCTTTCAGTGGCTAGACGTGAGAGCATGTGCCCACAGTTTGGGACTGAATCTAACCATTGCTCTATCCATTTGTTCACAATGCAGGTTATGGGTTTGCACTTGTGAGTCTTCCTCTCAGCTGCTATTAAGAAGGGGTGGTGGAAAATGAGAAATCATTGGACTAACACTGCTGACATATTAGAATATAAAATAGGATTTCTGGACTCCCTGCCACTCCTTAAGTACAAAGGGGAAGATAAGATATTCTGCCCTGAATACAGAATGTGGTGAATGGATCATTTAAAACACTTTAATGGGGAAACTAGATTTGATATATTAACCCTGGGCACCTCCTAGACCTTTATTTTATTTCTCCAAAACTTATTTTACTTTATTACCACTATTTGCTGAATATATTAGTTGAAATTGCTCTGCTTTTCTTACCTGTGGGTCAGAGGTTTGACTCTCAGGTTCTGATGGAAACTACTCTCTACCAAGAAAAGTTAAGAGAAGAATTTCAGCAGGATATCAGAGACTTGGTTTGACTCAACTTTACTTATGTTAGAATACATGAAAGAGAACATTTCCCTCAATGGTCATTTTTACCAAAATTTCATGGCTTAGGTTTTACATGATCATCATCAGAAATACTGATGTAAGAAAGGAAAACACATGGCTTTGGAGCCATAGGAAGGTTTAAGTGTGATGTGGCCAGCACAACCCATTCTAATGTCTGATAGAATTTCTTGTCTTGGAAAGGTCCTAGGGCAACAGCAGCATCTCCTGAGCCAATGATCACATCGGTTCAGAATTCTCTGCTGCTTCAGGGCTCAGATTGCTATTGGATTTACTTTTCTGTCTAGTAGGATTCATTTTTCCCAGATGGCTAATCCTGGAATCGATGAGCTGCTCTGAATTCAGTTTGTTCAGTAGAGAGACACTGATACTGGACTCAACTGCCACCTTCCATGTCTGTAACATGTAATGGCAAAACTATTTACCTATAAAAAGGAGAGAAATAATCCTACTGGTATTCCCCTTGGAGGTAAGGAGCAGGAGGAAGTCTAAGAAAAAGAGGGGGAGGAGGAAGAGACAAAAGCCAAGAAGAAGAGAAAGGCGAAGGATGAAGAAAAAGAGGAACAAAAAATTACAGTTTGAAGTTGGAGATATTTTATGGACCCCCCCCCAAAATTGTTTTATATAAATCTTAAAATGATCTTTGTGTGTGTGTGTAGTTGCAAAAACCATGTGGAAGTCATGTCTGACTTCCCCTTTCTTCAGAAGGGGGAAATAGAATCATCCCTAGGCTGATTTCTATGAAATGGAGATCAGTCATGTTTCTACCCTACAACCTTCTTTACTCTAGTCTGACACCAACCATCCCTCCCACAGCACTCTCTGCGTCACATCTGGGTTCAATAATCCATTGCAATGGCCACATAGAACTCATAACAAAACTCACGATTTTGGGTTTTATTAGGGAAGTGAGGAGGGTCAAAACCAACTCAGGACGCAGTAGTTCTCTAGTCAGGAACATCTCTTGTCTGTCATACTGCAGGCATGCCTCACTCTTGTCTATGGTCTCAATCATGTGACCCCTTGGCCTCTGTCTTGCTTAGGCAAGTGTTACAAAGCTCTTTAACCAGTCTGTGTAGGCACTCAGCTTCCTACTTGTAGGCACTTAGCTTTACTTAGCCCCTAGGCCTAGTGCTGGAAGTTATTCTGTCTGTCCATGCCGCTGCCTCTGCTGCTGTCTCTGCTGTTATCTCTGCTGTCTTCCCTTGCCATTGTCTCTTCTTGTCTCAGACACTCTCATACTGATGGTCTTAGGATCTTCAGTCTCTGCTGCTGAGATGGCTTCTTTTAAACCTCGTTGGAAAACAAAAACTAACCAATTCCAGCTTTAGAGTCCTGTATACCTTATTTGCATAGTCCTATCCAATCACTTTACGGAAAGATAAGATGGAAAAGCTCCATATCATCAGTGAAAACAAAGCCAGGGACAGATTATGGAACAGACCATCAATTACTCATATGCAAATTCAAACTGAAGCTGAAGAAAATGAAAACAAGTCCACAAGAGACAAAATATGACCTTTAATTTATCCCACCTGAATTTAGAGATCATCTGAAGAACAGATTTGATACATTAAACACTGAAGTCTGAAGACCAGAAGAGTTGTGGGATGACATCAAGATCACCAGACATGAAGAAAGCAAAAAGTCATTGAGAAGACAAGAAAGAAAGAAAAGATCAAAATGGATGTCAAAAGAGACACTGAAACTTGCTCCCAGTGTAGATATGCTAAAGCAAATGGAAGAATTGAGGAGGTCCAAGAGCTGAACAGAAAATTTCAAAGATCAGCTTGAGAAGATAAAGCTAAATATTACAATAAAATGTGCAAAGATCTGGAATCAGAATACCAAAAAGGAAGAACATACTCAGCATTTCTCATGCTGGGGGACTGAAGAAAAAAATCAAGCCTTGACTTTTATTATTGAAAGATTCTCTGGGCAAATTATTGAATGATGCAGAAAGCATCGAGAGAAAATGGGAGGAATACACAGAGTCACTGTACCAAAAGGAAATGGTTAATGTTCAAGAGCCAATGATAATTACGGAGGAAGTCCAAGGTACGTTGAAGGAATTGGCAAAGAACAAGTTCCCAGGAATTGATGGAATAAAAATTGAAACCTTTCAAGAAAGTGAGGCAGCACAAGAGGCACTCACTCATCTCTGCAAAGAAATTTGGAAGACAACTATCTGGCTGACTGATTGGAGGAGATCTATATTTGTGCCCATTCCAAAGAGAGGTGACCCAACAGAATGTGGAAATCATTGGACAACTCTTTGATATCTCATGAAAGCAAAGTTTTGCTGAAGGTAATATAGAAACAGCTACAATCATACATTGACAGAGAACTTCCAGAGGTTCAAGCTGGATTCAGAAAAGGCCATGGAATAAGGGAAATCATTGCTGATGTCCGATGGATCTTGGCTGAAAACAGAGAATATCAGAAAGATGTTTACCTGTGCTTTATTGACTATGCAAAGGCTTTCTATTGTGTGGATCATGACAAGCTATGGGCAACATTGAGAAGTATGAGTATTCCAGAACACTTAATAGTGCTCATGAGGAATCTGTACCTGGACCAAGAGGCAGTTGTTCAAACAGAACATAGGAACACTGAATGTTTTAAAATTAAGAAAGGTGTGCGGCAAGGTTGTATTCTTTCACCATACTTATTCAACCTGTATGCTGAGCAAATAATAAGAGAAGCTGGGTTCA